GATCAAGGAGACAGGTGGTTGGTTTCACTCGTCCAAGCAGCCTGTCCACATCCTCGGTCTTGATCCACATCCAGTCTTGATCACACACCCATTGTGCAATATAATGTGAAAAATACTTTCACACATTTCATATATTGTTAAGTTTGGTCTTCAGAAACCATTTGTTTTATAATGTAAACCGCCTTGTGGGCTTCAGATGAAGGGTGGTATAGAAATTTAATGAATAAAAACAATTTGTCAGGCTGAACAAGAAATCAGAAAGTGTCATGTTTGATTCTCCCCTCTGCCATAAAACCACTAGTTTGTCTTAGACAAGAGGCCCTCTCAGCCTTAGCTATGGTGTGGAGATAACAATACTTAACTCACAAGGTTGTTTTAGGGATCACAAGATAATGATTGTGAAGGCCTTTGAGTGCTCAGAAATATTACAAATACTAAACAGTATTACTGGCTATTAAGTTTACTTTAATTCTCAGCCCAAGTAAAGAAATCATTTAGCAGTTCAGTGTGATGGCACTATCAAGTCAGAAGACACTAGAGGTATTTTCAAGCCAGAACAGTGCACTGTAAAAATTAAGATTTTTTAGTTGTTACAAAATCAGTGCAGAGACAGAACTCGCTGCTTATGGCTGAAAGGCACTGCATGCTCAAGAAAATACTTGCCCTTTCTTCTGTATCCAATTACAAATGCTGTGCTTTAAAATTCATTTGTTTTAGGAAGCCAACTTCAGTTATCTTCTATTTCAGTTCTGTGTATCTACCTCTCCAGACAGTTCCATTATTTGATTGTGGAACAGGATATCTTTCCTTGAAATTGTGTTTACAGACTGTAAGCCATTCAGGGGAGATCATGTCTTGTCCCATATACTGTACAGCATCAGATAACATAGTTGATGAATACTTGATACTAATAGGTGCTGTTTTCTTCAGGACCTACCCTACCTTCCAACTTCCGGGGTACTAAAGCATGGCTTTTCCTCTTTCAGTAGGTCCATCCTGGTAGCTAAAATTCAGGACTAAATTTTCAGAACAATTGTGGGCTGGGTAGGGTACTGCCTTGTAGTATTTAATGGTTTAGGAACATGCCTCTTGAATAATTAAACCTTTCCACAAGTCGCTTCTGCCTCACAACGGGGGCATGTTGTGCTCTGACCTCCTGGGCCCACTTCCTCCAACCTCGGCGTGGGTGGGGCAACGTCCCGCATCACGGCGAAGTGTCCTGGCCACGTCACAGCACTGAGCGCCCAATCCGGAGGCTTGAGGGCATGGCCGGGATGATTTAAACCCAGTCGCAACGCCATTTTGTTCCCTTTTGCCGACCTATCTATTACCTTCCCCCAAACTACCATTTTACAGTCACAGCTCCTCAAAAGGCGTATATGGTGGGACAGTCGTTGCCCAGCTGCCACAAATAAGGCTAGGAAAAAAATGGATCGGGCTGTGACACGGAAAGTGTTGGCCTTGGGTGGCCAGGCGATTTGCCACCCAGAAATTGTGCACAGCAATGAGGCCTTCTATCGAACGGATGGCGTTCATCTTACCAATGGCATGATTGACATTTGGTTGGCCGATATCATTAAGGGCATAAAGTGTTGGTTGCAGGTGTGAGGGTATTGGCAGCGAGCTTAGGGCTCAATTGGCAGGCATTGGAATAGGGGTGGTGGGGGAGGTGAGGTGCGGCCATCACCTGTCCCTCCATCCTCTAAGGTATTCCGTTAAAGGAAGCCGGGGGTCTGGATCTTGTCTGAAGCCCACGGAGGGGCTAGGGCCATGCCACGACCCTAGGGAACCCAGGGGATGCTTGAGTCGGTTCACATTGGCCTGGCTCCCTCTTTGGGGTTTACCCTTAGCGGACTTCCAGTAAAGCGGGCCGGAAGTCAGATATAGTCTTGTTTGCCAATGCGTAAGCCAATACATTCTGTAATCAATAAAGTTGTGGCCTAAATTACGCTCATTAGCATTAACCTTATTACTGTGTCATCTTGTCTTTATTCTGGGGAGTGGTTTTGGGGAGCCTTGACGCGCAAAGGAGTATTCTTAAGGAATGAAAACCAAGTGTTGAATAAATGCCTGGAGAAGGGTAATTGCATACCCTAGGGCTGTCCTGTTCAATAATAATAATAATAATAATAATAATAATAATAACGACAATAATTTTACTATTTATACCCAGCCCATCTGACTGGGTTGCCCCAGCCACTCTAGGCAGCTTCCAACATGTATAAAAACATAATAAAACATTTAACATTACAAAACTTGCCCATACAGGGCTGCCTTCAGATGTCTTCTAAAGGTTGTATAGTTACTTATCTCCATACATTATATTTTGACATACTCAAATGTTCACTGCAAATCTAATTTAGGGTATCCTAAATTCTTTTAAAATTCAGAGTCTCAAAATTAGGTTGGGCAATAAGATGCATAATTCTGTAGCTGTGAACATTATTAATATTATTAATATTATTGTCTGTGGACAAACGCCGGCTCCCTCAGCCTGAAAGCGAGATGAGCGCCGCAACCCCATAGTCACCTTTGACAGAACTTAACTGTCCAGGGGTCCTTTACCTTGCCTTTACCTTATTAATATGGTGCTATAATTATTATTGCTATTGTTAGTACTCAAAGTCAAAAGCCCCTAGGTGACTTTGGAAACAGCGGTGCATCAGTTTCTTAGGTTTTTCACATAGTGGTATAGTGTGCGTGTTCCAGAGTGAACAAAGGTATACATGGAAAAATGATTATTCAGGATTCCAGTGTGAATCATTGGCAGCACATATTGCATTTGTCAGTGGAGTTTATTTTTATTTTTAAATTTAAAGCCCCTCCCCCTTTCCTACAAGGAACCCAGGGTAGCAAACATGGTTCTTCCTCATTTTGTCCTCATAACAACCCTATCAGTTGGGTCAGTGCCTTATAGTCACATGTAAGGCACTTTGTCATCTCTTGTGCTTTACTTGGGGCGATCAGATGCTCCTCTGATCATACTGTTAACTCGTTATCCAATCCACCAAGCAATTTCTTCTCTAGAAGAGAATTAAGTGCATCGAGAAATCTGTATGAAAGGGACTCCCAGAAGCAGTGGTTTTTTAGTTTTCAAATTCAAAGTATATTTCTCAGTAAACATGATGCTCTAAGCATGCTGGTTACCTTGTAGAAAAGTTAGCAGCATACCAGGTAACAACAGATAGTGCCAATGAGACAAATAAAACTTTGGCCCTATGGAGATGCTGCTTCCAACTAGATAGGCCATTTCACTGTTCAGCAAGTTTATTCGACCTTTTATGAACTTGTGTTCTGCTTCTGATATCTGGGCAAGAATGCCTGAAAATATTAGTTTTTCAAATTCCAGATTCCCTGCAGTCATTTTCATTGACAGGGAGTTGTCTGTGCAAGAGGTTACTTTCTTTTATGTGTGTGTATTTTTAAATACCAACAACATATTTAAAGGTACTTAGATATTAGAAAAATGAGCTCAGTTAAAAAGTAAAACAGTCCTGGAATAGGGTGCGTCATTGTGTTATCCAATATTCCTTATTATACAAATTTACTCTTTGTTCTGGTTGCTTTTGACTGAGCATTAGAATAGTATTGTGTTTATCTTCTTCTCCTAATGTTTTGGCTGTGGTCTGGACCAACAAAGAAAGTTTACAATAAGTTTCAAAACTAGGGGAAAGGGAAAGGGGTCTAAAGGGCTAGTCTAGTTAGCTCCTTCAACTTCCTGAATCCGCTTCCTCCTGAGAAAATTGATCAAACAAATTGCTTGGTTGCCCACTTTCCAGCCCTCCTTGTGGCTCTGTGTTAAAAGTAGGAAACTGAGATGATTTTGCTATGGATGTGTATTAGGGTTGCTTTTTCAAAAAGCTGCTATAGAAAGTACTTTCCTTTTGGGTTATTGACAGTGTATTCTTAAACTTGGAAATGTTTTTGTCTGCTTGAGGACTTAGATTGTTTTGAATTCCTAAATGAAATGACCTGATCCTAAAATTCTAAAATCCTAAAATGTTTGGATCAGTGTTTAGCTGTTTATTGGATTTTTCTCTTCTTCCATTACTGGGGTTACCTAGCCAGATGGGTGGGATCATCCTCATCATTATAGCACTCTTCTTGGCAGTGTTAACATATTTATTCCTGCAATGCAGAAGATTGGACTGGATGGCCTTCAGGGTCCCTTTCAGCTCTACAATTCTATGATTCCATTTCAAATTTCAGATTTAAGTGCATTGGGAAAGAAAATACATATGCACACATATTGACAGTATTGAGATTTATGTCTGATTAGAATAGAATTACTGGTAAAAACATGCAGAACATGACTCAGATAAGAAACAGATTCGCTCCTTAATGTAATGTGTCCTTGCTGGGATTATCTTCATACCAAGTGCTGAACCCATATCAAACATATTAATATATATAAAATCTTAAAGGTGATCACAAACATGACATATAGGAATATTTTGTTACTTGTTTCCCCTGAATAGTTAAAATAGGGGTGGTAGTGTGAGTACCCATAATTCTTCTTGTTTGGGTTTGGGTTAGTCTGCTTGCTTGCTTTTCTGTACTGTTGCACACCAGCCCAATCTCCAAGCAGTGCGAGATTCCAGGGGTTCCAGGCACTCACCCAGGGTTCAGTTTCCTCAGAATGTGAGACAGCGAAGACTGTGGTGTCCTTAGGATATATGGTTTATTTACACATATCAACACCCCAAGAGGGCCTTCCTTCTCCCATAGCCACAGTCTTGGATTCAAGCAGAAATCAAACATGTCTCTCTTCCTTTCAGACTTCTGCCTGCAGCCTCCTTCTAGCTCACACATCTCAACTCTGGCCTTTGTCTTTCTAACCACCAACCAGGTCAGCAGGGGCACAAACTATAGGGAGATCTGGGAGCCTGAGCACCCGCAAAAGAATTGCCACCGTAGGTTGGGTTCCGAAACCTCGCGAGGCCTCAGAAAGCATCTCCAAGGCTTTGCAAGACCTCCAAGTTCAGCAATTGAGTCCTGTTGAATCCAGGAATTGGAAGAGACTCAGGCATACAGCCTCCCCCCCCCCAAAAAATAGCATTTCTCTTTGTTTCAGTTTCTAGTCCCTGTGTGTGTACATAGGTCAAAGGTAAAAGGTAAAGGTACCCCTGCCCGTATGGCCCAGTCTTGACAGACTCTAGGGTTGTGCGCCCATCTCACTCTAGAGGCCGGGAGCCGGCGCCGTCCGCAGACACTTCCGGGTCACATGGCCAGTGTGACATCGCTGCTCTGGCAAGCCTGCACCAGCGCAGCACAGGGAACGCCGTTTACCTTCCCGCTATAAAGTGGTACCTATTTATCTACTTGCACTTTTAAGGGTGCTTTCGAACTGCTAGGTGGGCAGGAGCTGTGACCAAACGACGGGAGCTCACCCCGCCGCAGGAATTCGAACCGCCGACCATACAATCGGCAAGTCCTAGGCACTGTGGTTTCACCCACAGCGCCACCCGCGTCCCACATAGGTCAAATCTGTAACAATAATACTTAAAATACCTAATGTGAAAATAAAACAAAAGCACTAAAATTAATAAATCTAATAAAATAGGCAGTGAATACAGTAAAATGGACATCAGATCCCATAGAAATTTAAAAGTACAGTAGAATTACAGTAAACAAAACAGAAACAGCATCATAGATTTCAGCAGACCAGTTAAAAGCATAAAAAATCAAAAGTGAACAAAAAGGTTTTCACATCCTGTTTAAAGGCTTGAATATGGAGAGGTAGTCTATCACCTTTGGTACTGAGTTCCAGAAACATTGTTAAAAGTTATTAAAATAAATGGAATATAAGAGTGGTGAAAGGGGGATATAACAAAAAGAGATTGGAAGGAGCAGTAAATATAAAAAATGAAAAGATGTAAGTATGACTGGGGCAGGGATGTGAAGAAATAATAATTCGACCATAATTTAGGTAAAAGTGAAATCTGTTCTACATATCTAAGAATTGTGAGGCTTGTGTTTTTTGAACCACACATCCAAACCCAGTACGTGGGAAATCACTTTTGAAAACAAAGAGCATTTTAAGAAGGATTTGTGATAATAGCATTGGAATCAGAACAAACAAACCAAAATGTTACACTGGGTGTGTACCAGATGTAAGAAGACCTTAATGTAACTATTTAGATCTCACTCTATGCTCAGGATACAATAACCAAAGTTATTTTGACTTGGGAACCAGCATTATAACTTAAATTTTAATTTCCTACTAGTATTTACAATATAATGCTTTAAACTTTTCCAATTGTGCCTTTCATGAAAGTAAAGTTTTTAATGTTTGGTAGAAGTGTAACGAAAAGAAAATATTTATGTGGTTTTTCTCATTTGATTTTTTAAAAATCTGTGACCTATTTTTGAATGGGTGAAACAGCTGGAAGAGAAAGTTGGCTGGGAATTTCGACTCCTTTAGAAACAGTACAAGCAAGAATTTGGTCCTCATTTCACAGAATATTACGTTTTGGAAAACTAGGACCTTGGATTTCTGTATGCATTTGTTCGTATGTGCTTAAATCCTGCATGATGGGGCTTGTATGTATCTCCTAGGGTTGCCATAGTTCAAAAAGTGGAAATCCGTTTTTAACTTACTCTGAGCAATTTTGTTAGGAAAATCAGCAAAACCGACACTACAGGCCTGGCTTGCCATATGTCTGGATTTTTCCGGACATTTTTTTTTTTTTGGCCGATTTCCGCCCGAACGCTGCTTCATATGGCAACCCTATTTTAGGTATACTGTTTGTGCTGTGGAATTATTTTTCACATTTCTATGAGAAACTAAGCTTAACTTTTGGTATTTAGGGCTATTTGTCAGTTCATTATCGCCATTTATCATGTTACTCTTTTTCTGTGTTTTCAGGACCTAAGTACACATCATCTTAATTTTGTGATCAACAATCACATTGTGGCACACACACACACACACACACACACACACACACCCCAGGCCTTGGCGGGGGAAGGTTGTCCTTGAATATGCTGGGGGTGGGGGGTGGTTTGCTGTTCTCCGGGTGGAGAAGTTTAAGTTTTCCCTCCATTGTCGTGAAATTAGTGAACCACCCATCCCCGATGTAGCAGTTAGCATTGGGAGAAACCTTCCATTGGCATCAATGGAAGAGACAGCCTTAGGAAGTGGTGAGTTCTCGTTTGCTGGAGGTCTTCAAACTGAGCTTGGACAGAAATCTGCATTGAGCCGGCGGCAGCCAATATCAATATTCAGATCTGAAAACCAGATCAGCTGGAATGATGATAAACCAGTGGTTTACAACACCAAACTAGCATCTAGGAACCCCAGACATATTTTTGTACTAATAAGGAGATTGGATATTAACCTCTGTGAACAGAACTGGTTCAGAAGCACCTTTTTGTGGGTAGATCTAAAACACAAGGCTATTGTTCACATCCTTCCTGTTAGTGCCTTAAAGAGTCTACCTTGGAATGAATTGAATAGTACGGCTCATTCTTCAATTTTGGAACTTTTGTATCCCATCAGTGTGATGTGCCATTTGGGTCTGCTGGGTTTATACCCATTTTGCAGGTACATGATGCTAATTCTTACAGAAAAAATAACAAAAGGCCATATGAATGGACTGGTAGTTTATGTCACCAGCACTAACCACTAATCCTTGAAGTATATGACCTTTCAAGTGCCTTCTAGTTGTATGAATTATGATGACCAGTTATTGCTTTTCAATCAATTTAATATCAGGCTTAGTTAATCAGTTCTTCTCTCTCCACATCTGACCTCAGTATAGTTGAAAGTAATTTATCACCAGCAATACCACACCATTCATTCTTCTCCCTCTCAACCTAGTGATTTGTTCATTTAGCCCTTTCAGGAATTTCTTCTTTTTAATCAAAATCATTAACAGAATCTGTTTACCATCTTGGATCCATTTTTCTGCCTCTTGGCTTATTTGGAAGTTATACAACTGAACTGTTTTTCCAAGTTGTTTTCTTTAAAGAGAATCTGGTCTTCAAATTTAGCCAAAGTGGTGTAAAAGCTCTTGACAATGCAAGAAATTAAAAGGTGTATTTTTTTCTTAATTCAGTGCCATGTATAAATGCAGTACAGTCTATTTTATAATACTTGCACTATCTTGATTCTCGAACTGAATCTGTTCTGGGAGTCTGTTTGAAAACCAAGGTGTGGCTTCCTATTGGCTGTAGGAGCTTCCTGCACTCAAGAACACTTACTTCCGGGTTTGCCGCATTTGGGAGCTGACTTGTTGGGGAGCCAAACCGTTCAAGTACCAAAGTACCAATGTATGTATATGTTTTAAGCAGTGACAGCATATGAAAAATATTTTATAAATTTAAAACTCTTGTCTATATTACTTTCTCAAGGCTTACTGTTTGACTTCTGCACTACAGCCAGAGGACAGGGCCTCCTTAATGCTGGGAATTCCATCCTTGGTATATGGTCTTTCTGTTGTGAATGTGGAGAGAACTGGTTTCTCTATATATCTGTTGTACCTCATCCCATAGCTTGTGTAAGGAAATGCATGGCTGTAATTATGCACAGAATTATAGCTGCTACTAATCATACTAACAGCATTCTCTGTTCTCTGGGTGCCTATCTTTATGTAGCCACAGTGGCACCATCCATACACCAAAGGAAAGTATTGGCAGGCCGAGGTAGAACCCCAAGGTTTGTAGAGGTGGATAGCTCAGTCGGTAAGAGTGTGGTGTTGAAAATGCCAAGGTTGCAGGTTTGCTCCCCGTAAGGGACAGCTGCATATTCCTGTATTGCAGAGGGTTGGACTAGATGATCCTCAATGATTCTATGAGAAGCAACAACAAAAAAAGAAAGAAAGAAAGAAAGAAAGAAAAGAGAAAGAAAGAAGATGGACCTAAGGCTAGGTGTCTGAAAACCCAATACAGCCCAGTGAAGACAGAGCATGATAAATGACCATGGGACGCTGAATAATTGTTGGGGAGACGGAACCAGGAAGCCTGGTGGGTGAACAAATTTAACAGATGATCCTGAGACTCCACACTGCAACATTTTGCTGCAGATTCCACTTGTATTAATAAGCATTTTCCCGTATTAGTGAAGTCGCATGATAAAATAACATCAGGCCGACTCCTACCATTTTTAAATATATATTTTGGTAATCTCACAACCATATCTTTTGGAGATTTGTAGCAGTGTGGAGGAAAGTGGCTGGTAGTATCCATGTGAAATGCTGTGCACACTAATGGGCTGCCCCGCAGGACAATCGCCTTGTAGATACAATTTCCAACATACCCGTGAAGCAGGTCTTAGTTGATATGCCTGCAAATTCCCTCGAGGTATCAAGCCTCTCAACATGTGCAAACAGAACCAGTCATTGGAAGAGAAGTGTATCAATCACTTCAGAAAAGTCTGACTATGCTTTTAGTATCGGTGGGAATTCAAAAAGGTCAATAGGCTCAAGGCCAGAATGTCATGGCACACATACAAAAAGAAAATAGATATTCTCCATATTAGTTAAGAACATTGGGGGAGGGGGGAGGGGGTGGAGAAGGTGTATATTATGAAAGAAAATGCTGGATTTGATCCACACTTAATGTGTTCAGCCTTCTACATCAAGTGGTGAAAACAACTGCATAACTTTACTCACATCTGCTGCTTTAAACCACCATTTTCTTTTCAGTTTCCTCCTTCCCTGCTTTACACAAATTTCTGCCCTATTTGTTTTCATAAACCACTGCTTTTCACCTGTCCATGTCTCCCCTTTCTTGCTCCTATGCCATGACCACAGCTGATATGTAGCCGTCCTTTTCTTTTGCTCTTTTCCCCTACCCCTTCCCGACTTCATGGAAATTCAAGATTGTGATGAGGCGCTACAAATCCTCCACTGGAAGCTGTGCTATAACAACCTTGCATTTTTCGCTATATATGGGAAGACAGAGATGGGAGAACTTTTAGCTCACCCGGCTTTGTCGGACTCCAACTCCCATCAGCCCCAGCCAGAACAGCAAGAGAGCTTATGGGAGTAGCAGTCTATCTGAAGGGCTCAGAGTTCCCCATCCTTGATTTAATAAATATCATGTTATCTTGGTTATCCCATACCCTCCAACATTTTTCCAATGAAAATAGGAGCATCTTAAGGAAAAGCGGGACATTCTGGGATCAAATCAGAAACCAGGACTGCACCTATAAATCTGGGACTGTCCGTGGAAAATGGGGACACTTGGATCGCCTGTATCCTATTCTTTTAGGATTGTAAATGACTAGCATAAATTTCAAAAATGCAATGTAAATGAACTTAAGCTGATGATACATTGCTTCTTTATTTTTATTTTTTTTGTATTTAAACATTAATTTTGGAAATACAGGGATGGCTTCTAGTCCTTCCGTGGCATTACATGCTTCTCTTTAGGAGCAAGTAGGTGACTGATTCATGGATGTGTCATGTAGAATCTAATGGCATTCTGATGGCTCCCTTCCCCCTTCCCCTGCCTACTGATGTTTGTTTTAAGAAAAGAACGGTTCTTAAGAACAGTTTTGAATTGCCAACAAGTTTATGGACTTGCTTTTTTGTTTTGGAAATTAACTACTTTAATTACCTGCCTTGTCTGCTAGACTATTACTTGCCTTGTCTGCTGTGTTTATGGCCTTGCCATTTTCCTTGTATGGGCCACTTTAATTATCTTTGTTTGCTCAAGAATGAGAATAAGATTTACAATGAAGGATCTGTGCCTGTTTCCATTGTGGTGGGATCCTGTGAAAGGGCCTCCCAGTCAAAACCATGCTGTGGTTTAATTGAAGACAAAAGCATATCTCTGGACTTTCATTAAATGCTGTGTATCAGTTACAGGGAGACTGTGAGTTAGAGATACCGCAGTATGTTTATTTTAGGATACTGTATAATCTCACCTTCCCCCAACCCCATTTTGTTGCTGTTATTTCCCGCCCCTTTTATCCTGAAGAGGCCAGCGTAAGAGTTTAACAAAGCACTTTATTGACAGGATAAGTAAAATGAAGAATCAAAGAGGCACCCTTAATGACCTTTTGTGGATATAAATCATTAATGCTATGTGTTGTTGCTAACATCCTGCATGGGTCATAAAAAAAACCCGGTTGGCCCTTCACAATGCAAGCAGAGGTGTTGGTTCTGAATAAAAATTTCCATTGCAAGCAGAAATGTTTTCCCACCTTTGATTTTTCTTCCTCTTTGGATTTTTGTATGCCCCCTCTGCCAAATTTCCCATTGAGTGTGAACCAAAACAAACAAGCCAAGTATTTTGTTTTCAAAGTCCCCTTAAAAACAAATGATCATGAATTACATTGCTTATTTTGATTTCTGAATGTCTTTTCAAGGCTTTCTTTTATTTTAATTTTTAGGGAAAGACATTGTTAGGTATGTGTTTATCTCATGAAAGGTTGTAATTTGAGAGATTCAGTAAATCAAGGGCAGACAGTTTAATGTCTGTAGAGCATGTCTAGCCTGCCAGCCATTTCTTCATACCTCACATGACCTCTCTTTGGCAAATCAAATCTGGTAGACATTAGGAGACCCATGAATCTAACATGGCTGACCCCTATTCTGAATATGTTACACAGTGTGGCAATACTCAGAGAACAGCAAGGTGCTTCGTAGTAGAGATCAGTTTAACCATCGTAAGAAGAACACTCCTGGATGAAACCAATGGTTCATCCAGTCCAGAATTCTAAGCAGCGTCCAAACAGATGCCTCCAGAAACTGCACCTGCAAACCTCAAAGGAACCCACAGTTATTTGCCATCACAGTTATGTGTTCAATGGACCATAGTTTCTTAACGCGGAACTTCCACTCTGGGCCAAACTACATGTAACAATGAACGTACCACTTGTAGTTGGTTGAAATACATTGGGTCCTCCCTTAAGGAGGGCAAGTATTGCGGTGAGACCTGGAAACCGACACCCTGTGTTGTGGGTGGGTACAATTGGTCAGCCACAACACCCAATTGGTAGGTCACTTGATGCTGGGTTTAATCAGGCCAACGGGATGCAGTCCAAATGGTTTGAGGGACCTATATATACCTATGCACGTGACTCAGAGCTTCCTCTTTCGGTGCGTGCATTCGGAACACCCGCCCACCTCTCCCTATTTTTAGGGCTTTGCACTTGACCTTGCTATGCCGTTGTGTGTTGTCTGTTGTTGGGACAGGGGCACAGCAGGAATTTTCCCCACTTGGCTGATTGGCTGGTGCCATTTGGGTTTTGCCTGCTGCAAGCAAATCGTCACAACTTGTAAGGTTGCGGATAGGCTCTGATTCAGGTGATAGGGATGGGAGAACGCTCTCGCCATCCCTATGTGAAGGGTATTCCATTAAAGGAATCCAGGGACTCGATGGTTTGGTCAACCCATGAGAGGGGGTTATGCCCATGCCTGAGTCCAGGGGGACATTTGGGTGGCGGAGATAGCCTGTTCCAGCTTTCCGCTTATCCAGGTGTTCACCCTTGGCTGACCTATGCTGGAACCCTGGGTCAGCGCTACCTGAATGGCAGGGAGCTAGTCGAACCAGAGCCTATGCAACCATTCACTTTCTGAAATCAATAAACTTGTGGCCTAAATTCTGCCAAAAACCAAAACCAAAATTTGAGTCAAGTGTGAATTTATTTAGGGGGGAGCTTTCTGGGTCTGAACACACAAAAATCGGTAGATTAGCAGGCGTGGGGAAGCGATCAGGATTGGGTCAGTGGCATGCAGGAAGGACAGAGCTAGCCGTTTCCCAGCCCACTCACAGTTACTACCTTGGCTGCATTAAGTCTCAGGATACATGCTCCTGTTGGTGCTAGTAGGAGCCATATTTGTCTAACCCTTAAGTAGGTTGGTGGTTACCACAGCATCTTGTGGTAATGAATATAAAAACATGTTATATTCTGTCATCGAATTCTACTTTCGGCAATATGGATATAATTATTGTTTGCATAAGACCATTTGAATGCTTGCAGCTATGAATATAAGAACATATTGCAAATAATATCCCATCAGTTTGGAGTCAGATTCCAAATTCAGAATTATGCATATCATGATTGTAAGTTTCCATGAGATAATTTGAATGCTTAGTTTTTATTTCTGTCAATTGCAGGGGGTGGGGCACACGTTATCTACATTTTGTTTTTGTGTATCAGATCAGGATATTTTTTTATAATGGCCAAATGGGAAAATTGGTGTAGTGACTTTAGAATTATCTCTGATCCTATGTTGTTTGAGCATAGAAATAATAACTGTTTACTGTGAATAATCTTTGCTCAGAAGAGAGGCCCAAGAATAGGCTAACGTGAGGAATGAATTACTCTTTCTTTCTACACAGCATGATCAGGTCAGGGTTGAGGGCAGAGAGGTTGGAGGGTGGTTGTGAATGCAAAACTTGGCATATGAACAAATAAAGGACTTAATGTTTCATGGCCCTAAGTATGCTGGCTTTTACAGGCGTATCACTGATATTTTTAATGGAAGTAATCGCTTGAGCTTTAAAGCCAGCCTTTTATTGAAGTCTTGAAAATAGATATCCAAACAAAAATCCAATAAAATTAGCAACCTTTGAATCAAGCTTAGAAATGTGTGTGGATTTTTAACTGGTTTTTATTACCTTCATTTTCTAGGTCTTCGGGGATTTTCACCATGTAGCTGGCAACACAGAGTTCTTATTTAACCATCAGGCGTACAGCACAAATGGTAAGTTGTTTTGGCACAGCACGGTTATTACTGTGTAACTCAATGAATATTTGCAGTACTTGCATTTGTTGCCCAATGTTTTCCTGACAAATATGTAGAAAATTACATATTCCTTATTTGAATTATTTACTTACCTATTATA